TGCTTAGCACTACCTCAACCAAAATAAGTTCAAATCAGATTTCAAATGTTAGCCAATGCCTCTCATCTTATATTTTATTTGATTAAGGCTGTGATTGAAGTAGCAAGCAAAAAAATAGTCAATTCATACTGTAGCTGGTTCAGATACGTGATAATTCCAGGCAGTATATTAAGATAATTATTACTGTACTTCAATTACATTGTACCTGTTAAATCAAGCCACTCATTTTTAATTTGCCTTTGCTATCACTTTTTTCCCCATTCCACACATTTAGTCCTTGATTAAGACAGCAAAGGAACGATTGAAAACCAGATTTCTGACAATGCTGTGAGAAGCATCAAGCTCTCACTCGTCTCCAAATGGCTGCAGCTGGGATACTCGATTTAGTGTGCACATTTGCAGGGAGACGGGAGCGAAAAGAAAACTAAGCCACACCCACCAGACTGGGATGCATTGTGCCACTAGCAGAGTCAGATAAAATATTCCTCATCAACAATTATTCATAAATCTGTACCAGATCCCAATTTCCTGAAATGGATGATTAGTTCACCACATTACATTTACTTTGGTTCTTTGTCCTAATTTCACCCTCTTAATCCAACTGTTCTCCCTTTTGTTTCTGAATGATTTAACAGGTCACAATGGAGTCATTGCAGCTTGCCAAATCATATCCAAACATCCCACCCGACTTGAACTAGGTGAGCATCAGTTTGTGAAGTCAGTGCTATCAAAGTGGGGACATGAAACAATCAATCTCCAGAGATTACCATACTGCAGAAAAAATTTGCGTAAATATCGATTATGTAATAAACAAGGACTAGGAGAATGACATTTCAGATTGTCTCATCACAACATCCTATGTGAGGCACATATTCAGCAATTCATATCCTGAACATGTATAGATCAGTGTCTTATTCTGGCCGTATAAGCAATAACACCTAAGGGTTCCAATGTCATTCGTCCCACTCGTTGTGTAGTTCCAGTGCCTGAGCATGCTATTATAGTTTGCACTTTCAGCTGAATACCATGCATAAAATTAGCCAATGGCAAAAAACAAAACTAAAGCTAAATTGAAATTTAGGAAACAGAACTGGAAAAGGAGAAGTGGGAACAGAAGAAAGCCCTCGGTACAGCATTGACTGAGGTAGGACATAAATTGAATCGATTTCCCTTCCCCATTTAAAAATAAATTTTTTTGAATGATAGGTTGGTGTCAGATTGTTGACTGAAGAACTGTTACCGATAGAAACAAATGAATGCATTGCTTTCCTATTTGATTTTTATCAGGTATAACCCCCACATATTTACAGTTTCAATGTTTAAATGATAGCAACTGTAATCACAGACAATGATTTCACTAATTGAAAGGCAATGATTAGCATTGTTGAACTCTGTCAGTTACATCATGTATTTTCTAAAAGAGACATTTTTGAAGTTTATTCTGAATGGGGTGTTTGTAAAAGTAAACATATAAAACATTTTTTTCAAATACTCTGTCTGTAAGAGTACAAAAAAAATAAAAACACGTACGTATGTGTTTAGGTTCAGTAAGAACAGGAGAAGTTAGTCTGACTTCTCTGAAGTCAAAAAGTTTCCAAAACGTGCAAGGTCATGGTTCTAGATTAATCAGAAGACAAACTGCAATTTCATGTTCTTGCTTTCAAATTGTGGTTCTTCAGGTGCACCACTCATACTTTGAAAAAGAACATTTCACTTTCCCTTTTGGTCTCCTTTTGTAAAATTCTCCATGTTCCTTTTGATTGTGGACAGATTAAAAGCGTTGAGAAACATGACAGTTTTGCTCCAAAACACAATCTGTATTCCCTTGCTGTTGTGATTTTCTTCTGTGGCATTTTCATGCAGTTAAAAATCACAGAAGCATTGCTGCTTAAGACAGAAATGACAAAACCTGGAGAATGTCAATAATTTAGTGCTGTCTTCTAGTCTGTGAAGTCATTTCCCTTGCAATTGTTTTGCATGACGTGGCAATTGAGAAATTCAAAGCAGTATTTGGGCCACATAGGGTGAATGAGTGCTTGCTACAGCTGCCAGCAGGGGCAGGTCACTGGATTCGATCCTAAGAAAGAAGGAAACAGAAACAGTATTTACAAATTAGATCTGTAAAGCAAAGTAGTCAAGGCATCAGTACACCTTCACCTTCTTAAATCTTAGTTGAATGTCATGTCAAATAATAACTTTCTTGCTGTTGATTGTTATGTGTTGGAACGTGTTTATATTCATTAATAGATCAATAGGCTGGATCTATCTAATGTTTTAGAGATCAATTTTCAATGACTCCCTGCTCTAGAGTCTACTCAGTGTGCACGTGCACCAGACAGTAAGGAGCCATAGTCACTTACTAGTATTTGCAGGTTTCAACCTCGGTACATTGTGTTTAAAAGGAGGGGGGGGGTTAAAAAGTTAGCCATAGCTTCAGTGTACTCTCAGCAAATCTGACAATTGACACCAGAAAACTGTTATAAATTTGCTGGATTGTTATACAAACCAAAGTCTTTCAAAACAGGTGCTGCCTGATAGCATTGTTGATGGCACCTTCAATCATTTTACTGACAATGGAGAGTAGACCATTGGAGCTGTAATTGGCTGGATTGGATTTGTCCTTCTTTGCGTACTGGACTTAACTGCACAATTTTCTACATAGTTCAGTAGGCATCAGTGCTGTAGCTGTTCTGAAACACAAATCTTTAGTATTACTGCTGGCCCCACAGCCTTTGCCTCCAGCTGTTTCTAGTTATCATGTGGGGTGAATCCAACTGGATGAAGACTGGCACCTGTAGATGCTGGGAGGCCAAGATGGATCATCCACTGGGCACTTTAGGCTGAAGATTGTTGCAAATGCTTCAGCCTTATTTTTGACACTGATGTGCTGGGCTCACTCATCATTGAGGAAGGGGATATTTGTGGAGCCTCCTCCTTCAGGGAGTTGTTTAATTGTTGAGCACTGTCAACAACTAGATGTAGCAGGACTGCAGAGCTTACATCTGATCTGTTGTTTGTTTAGTCACTTGCTGCTAATGCTGTTTGGTATACCAGTTTTCCTGTTTTGTAGTTTCACCGGGTTGACACTGCTTAATTTTTAAGGCATACCTCACGCTGCTCCAGGCAAACCCTCTTGCATTAATCATTGAACCAGGGTTAATCCCCTGGCTTGATGGTAATGGTAGCATGGGGCATATGCCGGGCCATGAGGTTACAGACTGCTTTGGAGAACAATTCAGCTCCTACTGATGGCTGACAGCACCTCATGGATCCCTTTTGATCTTCTAATTCTGTTTGAAGTCGATCCCATTTAGCACAGTGGATAGTGGCACTCAACATGATACAGGGTATTCTGAACGTGA